TAGCTGTCACTAAAAATACACCAGTTTTAATACATTGTAGTTACGTTAAATTGTTCATGAGAATATTATAACCAAGGATGCTTTTGAAGGATTTCGTTAATGTATTTTCTATTAGTCATTGCTTTTATTCGTTAATGGTCGTAACTTTAAAAGTTCGATTGTGTAATTGTGTACTTACAAAGTTTGTAAGCTAAATTATAGTTACAATTGAACAAAGTAAAAAAGAAACTTTATCTTAGCATACAAAAATAAAGCAAGAACATTTCGTTGATTCGTCATTTCGTCAAATTAAAGTCAACTGAGGGTAACGGATTACTGTTCATACTGACTATTCGAGGACAGGTCACTGACCTTCGCTACCAACAATTGTGTTCTTCGAAGCTAAATATTTTATTCTGAACGTGCCATAAGTACTTGACGTGAAGACGTGATTTGTTAGCGTCCATTGAAGTTCTACTTATTCCATGACCATTAGGTACGATTTTGGTATAAAATGTATGTTATTATGATTCAATAAGGATGGTAATTGAACGGGATTTTTAAGTCAGGTGTACATTTGACCTACAAATACCTAAGCTTTGCTAAATTGGCTAGAAGTGTAAAAACTAAATATAATTTGTTTACATCACGAAAAACTAAAATTACCCTGGTTAGATTCATATGCTATGACGTAAAGAGACATTTCCAAATATGAATAACATATTACTAATACACCAGACGGAAGTAACCTATAAATAAACGCAAATTTTTCTCGTCTGTTTTGCAAAACATAATGAAAGTAAAGAAAACTACGCGATCTGCGTCCGGTGGTGCTGCCGACCCAGTTGTTCAACTCTCCACTGCATTTATGTGTGCAAGATTGTGGTGGAAATTATGAGCGGTAGCGAGGACACCAGACGACTCACTATCCTTTGACAACCTTTATGATAAGAGTCATCATGAAGGTCGTAATTATTCATTTTTTTGGACCGAGAGAATAGCTTCACTGCAAAATACAAATTTACTGAAGCTTTATGCTTCTAAATTTAAATACGCATAGGTTAATAGTTTTTTAAACATACAGGTCCAATATAAACTGGCTGTTGAACAGTACTACGAGTATGTCCAGTCAGATCAAACAAATGTTGCTTCGCTTTCTACAAGCTGTTCGAGTTACGATTGACCTCTTTTCTCATAGTTTAAACTAACTGCCGATAATTGGACAGGTAGATGTACTTATACCTACACGACGAGATTAACATCTTACGTGTTAACTGTAGATTTTGCGCTTATTGTCAGAATTAAGAAATGAAGTTGTTTTGTTGGGTTTTGGGTAGAATGTTACTTGCGGGAATTTTAACTTAGTACCAAAGTAAAGGTTTGTACTAATTATGAAGGATTTCTTTTTGTTTATTTCGATGCTCCATCGCACTCGCCATCGTTCATTACTTGCACCTCTCATACATACAGACTACCGGATGTTCATTACAACGTGAAACGTCACCATTCATAGTATGTGAACTGTTACACTGTTGTTTTTACACCTTTTCATTGTCAAGGCGCGTTTATGCATAAATCGCCGGTTTTTGTACCATTACGAAAGAGAAGTGTATCTTATATTTGCTACAAATACAACTTAATTTAAAGCTAATCTAATAGATCAATCGTAAACGAAGGTTTCTATGCAAGGAACTCCGTTATTTTTTATTCATTTATTTATTTAGATTTTTGCACATACGTTTGTGTACAAGGTGGACTTAATGCCACAGGCATTCTCTGCCAGTCGAACCTTTGGGTGATGCAGAGATAACAGTAGATGCAAGAAGCAAGCAAAATCGAGATATAATTGATGTTTTAAATCATCCTTTTGAGTTCAGGTCAAAATAATGTTCTGTTAGTTTTCACATACCTTATAGGGAACGCGCCAAAAATGTTTCACGACGTGATTTTTATGGTTGACCACGACATTAATAACGGTTTGATCTTTTGTTGTTTTAAGACCGGTAGCAATTTGTTATAGGTTAAAAAGATTTTCATAGACAATCAGCTCTGGACCTGTTTTTGTTTAAAAAACCTTATATGCATAGATTTATGTGCAAAGAGGTTTTGTTCGATTGCGGTGTTTGTCTACTTTTTACGATGTATAGATCGTCAGGGTCAGGTCGTATTATTTCCATACCAGAATTATAAGTAGGAAATATGCTCATTATTTATGTTGGAAGAATGAAAAAGTGTGATTGTGAAAAGATCTCTGGCTTTCCTGTTGTGTAACTATTAACGTAATCACTAAGCAGTTCAGCCGGTCTCAAAGATGCATTGTCCATTTAAATATGGTCCAGATAATTCGCAGTAAACTATGAATCATTTGAAAGTATTATTAAGAATAAATGTCGGTGATAGTCAAGGTCTGGTTATAAATGTTCTTTGCTAATCTTTCAATGTAATTAGTCTTGTTTATTTCAGTTTCCAATCAAATTTCGTTGTCATAAGTTGGCTTTACCTCGACAATTTAATTCTTGCCTTTAATTGTTAATTTTTTAAAGCTATATCTTGATTTATTGCTTAACAATAGTACCTACTCGTATTAAGGTAAATTGGTTAGGAGTAAACTTAATACGGATCAATATGCTATCCTATTTTACACCTTCATTACGGAGTTCTGGACTCTTCCATTCAAGGAATAAAAGGAATGTTTGTAGTAAGTGGTACATGATTGTGGTAGGGTATTGTTTCAGAACTCAATGGTGGATCTACTCCTTTTCATCATCACTACTGGGTTAAAAGGAGTACAGTACTCCATCTTAGGTCTTTCATTAGCTTAAAGAGCAATAGCTCTTTCAAAACTCACTTTATCTCATGCAACTATCTTGATAGGTACTTCTGCACTATTGAATGACTGCATGAATTTTCTTCCTATTGTGATTAAGAAGTTGGTTACATCATAAGTAGCTTTGTTATAAAGCCGATACTTCCAAGTCATCATTACATCAGATTTTGTATCTTGCTACAAACTGTCATAGACATGTGAAATTTTAAGGTATTTTGTATTTGTTTTGATGTTGTGCCCACGTGGTTTTTGGCCCGTATTAACAGTTTGTTTTTGGACAGAATTTCGAGTTCGTTTTGAGAATTTCAACATCGGAATTCTAGAAATTCTTAAAAGGCCGTGAACGTGAAAAGATAATGATTTTGATTCCCTTTTAAAGAAATCTAGAGTAAACCATGGATAACAAAAATATTTGAGTTTATTTTTACTCCCACTGTCACTTGAAATTCATGTGGATTGTGACAGTTATAAAGATTGTTATCAATAAACCTACTACATAATTAATTGAGCTGAAATCCTAGTACTTATCACACTTAAAACTGTGATGAGCTCATCACAGTTTTAAGTGTGATAAGCTGCAGCTCACCTCAGGGTGAGCTGCAGCATTCTCTAAGTTGAACTTAGCTAAGTACTTTTGGTAAATCCTCTTTGAAAGACATGTTCGTACCTTCAATAATTCTTTAGGATGTTTATGATGTATCTGAAGTCCCTAGGTTGATCATTAAGCAGAGTGTCGATCTATCCACAATTATTGTAAAGGAATATTTTGTACCACGTTGTCAATGAAACATACATATCATGGGCCGTACAATGTCGTACGTCGTTGTCATGGAGCCAATGTTCAAGGCAATTTTTTGAGGCTCGAATATCATCCTATGGCTTTTTTCCCTGGTGTTTCAGACTCTTACTGACTAAATAATACGTCGGTCCTTCTCCAGTTCGAGGTCGGGGTCGAGGTACATTATTGCACTTGAACCGATAAGGGTCATTCCTATATAATTACCTACCACTGCCTATTGTTTTGGGTAATAAACTTAGTGTAGTACCTATACACTTATGAATAAGCCTCAAAGTAGAATAACACCTAAAATTTTGCCCTAGAAACAGCAACCAAATCTACGAATACACCACTTTGTGAAATCTATTTACCCACGTTTACCTATCTAACTTGGCATGTACGGAACTGCGTGCCATTTGAAGCGATGCCAAAGTTGGCATTGACATTAACATTTGTTGTAACCAATACATATTAATTGTAGAGAAAATAGTGGCCACCAACCGTAACGCCTTAGTGGCCCATTGTTAACACCGATTGTTAGAGAAAACAATACAGTTTTTGATAATGTAAACAGAAACCAGTGAGTTTGTTAGGTATGACCCATTTTTCTAAATAACAAACACTTCCCCTGTAAAAAAATTGAACTTCCTTCACGTAATTAATAATATGACAACTAAATTTCATTATTATTTAATTTTTATTTCTGCGTTTCATGTTTCATTTTCATCACATTTATTTTTTATTATTAAACGTGTATTAATTAATCTCGCTAATATATTTCGACAGCTTCTGGTGATAAACACTGTGAAATTAAATGAGTATTGGGACTTAGTACTCTATTTTAGGACACACGCAATTCTCAAATACAGTAAGCGTTTTTATCCTCACATCCAATCTGGTTCCCGATAACATCGACTTCGCGAAGGAAGCGACTTACATGCTTATTTTTACTTATGTTTATTTATAGCACTTCACACTTTAAGCATTTAAAGAAACCACATAAAATAAAATTATATTAGAGTAACAAACACAATACCTTTACAAAACAACTTTAAAAAAATATTCACCCAATCCAGTAACAGTGCGATCCACAAAAAATACACCACTGTGACGTCACAACATAAAATTTCAACTCATTTTCACTTAAACACCAAGTTTAAAAACATTAACCTGCCTAACCCATTTTTCACATACAAAACGGTACCCGATTAAGAAATTGCTCTTACAATGTACATAAGTAAATATAGCGAACTTAAAATCCAGTAGTTGACTAACTCGGTCGGCCCGTAAAAGTAGTTTATTACTTAACCGGTTTATGTTATAGCACTGTTTTAAATAGTTAAGCTTGAACTCAAGAATTAGTTTAAGGAAATGATTTGTCTTATGAAAATATTAAGTAATGAATAAGTTACCAACCTGGATGGAACATGAATATAATCACAACACTAAGAATCACTCACGCGCACCCAAGATGGTGTCCGTCGCGGCACTGCCTGTCCCCGCCCCGCATGCGCTCGCGCAAGCCTTCCCCGTACCTGAGCGTAAGACTGCGCGTGAATGTACGCTAGCTAGCGGCCAGCGGCTGTTACAAGCGGATGACTTAACACCGGCACCCTTTATTTTTGTATTACAATATCTTACTTAATATTGTCATTCACATTAAAAGGTCTTTGGAATATTTCACAGTTTATAATACTATACTTATTAAAAATACCGCCAAAATCATATTTTTATTTGCCATTATAGTAGTAACAGGTGGTCTCTTTTATTGCATCTGTCTAAATTTTAACTCTCTATCTATCCCGGTTCATAAGATACAACTTGATGGCAGACCGATAGCTGTACGCATGGACAGCAATGTTTTAGTTATAAAGTTTTAGTTTTTAACCTTTGGGTGCGAATCCCAATAAGAAGCCCTTCTTATATAGAAGTTATTTCTTATAACTATTATATCATAAGTAATTTTTCCTCCAGTTTTAATGACCACTGTGATCTCCATAACCTTCCTATAACAGTTCTCTTGTGAGCAGACTACATATTCAATGGAATACCAACCTCTGTTTTTAAACAAGGTTTATTACAATAGACTATCGGTATACCATTCTACTTACATCACTTTCTATTTAGTTTAGTCGCTTAGCGTGTGCTAGTTTTTATACTAGTAAGTACTTCAAAATTACTACTAAATCAAAATAGGTCAGTTACTGACAGTTTAACTTATATTATTTAAAGCTGTTTTTTAGCATCTATATGTGTGACTAAACTGACAAATCACTACATAGTATAGGTAAAACAAAATCGCTTTCTCTATCCCTATATCTCTCCGTATGTATGCTTAAAACTAAAAACTAAGCAATGGATTTCGATGCGGTTTTTTATAGGGAGAGTAATTGAAGAGGAAGGAATAGTGGTGATATTTAGTATCAGCATTGCAACCGTGTCAAGACGAAGCTAGTCCTTAGTTTTGAGTGAAATGACTTCGCATTTAACTCGCCAGGATCGACATCCAAATTTAAATCCAAACTCATATTATGAATGCGAAAGTAACTCTGTATGTCTGTCTTTTCTTCATGCCTAAACTACTGAACCGATTACTGTGAAATTTGGTACAGACATAGTTTGGTAGACAAAGGATAGTTTTTATACTATTACACGCGAACGGAGTTGCGGGCAAAAGCTAGTTAGAAATATGCGATGGCACTAAATCAGTAAGTCGTTTATTGCATGAATTTATATTTATACTCTTTGCTGTGTGAATCCAATAGATTCACTCTTTATTTTCTGATAAGACAATATGTAGATGCATAACGTACAAAACAGTAAGTCCATATAAAGAAAGCCAATGCCTTAATGACATTCTATATCATGTAGGTTTGTTCAAAAGATCCGAACTTCGAAACATTTGAAACTCCTTTCTCGCTCACTCATTTCACTCAAACATAGTAAAAATTAAGTCGAAAGTTAAGTCATTTCTAATGTTTAGGTAGTTTTGATCGTCAAACAAGAATAAAGGTAAAATATCAGTTTTGTATGTGTCAATCTGTCTGTCTGACATCTTGTGACGCTATTTGCTCGTCCCAAAGTGTAGTTTATGTGCTAAATAGTTTTAATTTTTCTTTGATTTCATTCCTAGATTTATGTAACTTCTAATAAAAAAAAACTCATAGGTAGATAAAATGCGATAACACATTCGTCATGTTATTATTATGATGATAATAAAAGAAGCAATTGTCACGTTGCTTCGTATAAAAGATATTCTTGTGTTTTGTTCCTATATAGCCTTTCCTGTTTTGCAGAAAACATTCCACGCTTACACACATACACACTCTCTTTGCATTCTGATTTCTAGTATTAAGTTCAATATTACAAACAAGCCTAAGCTATTCTGAAATAAAATACACTGATTCAATAACGAAAGACACTGATTTAATAATCATTGTATTTCATAACTATACAAGACAATATTTCTATTTTATTACAATACATTATGTATAATTTTTAAGTTTGGGAGAGCCATGCTTCGGCACGAATGGGTCGGCTCGACCGGAGTGATACCGCGGCCTCACAGAAAACCGTCGTGAAACAACCACAGCGTTGTGTTTCGCCGTGTGAGTGAGGTTACCGGAGGCCCAATCCTTCCCCTCCCCCAATCCCTTCTCAATCTTTAAATCTCCAAATCCCTAATCCCGAAAAGGTTGGCAACGCACTCGTAACTCCTCCATTGCGGGTGTCCATGGGCGGCGCTGATTGCTTACCATCAGGTCATCCGTCTGCTCGTTTGCCGACCTATTAAATAACAAAAAAAAAATGGTTGTACAATGTACATACATGAACTTTTTTTAGTGTTATGTTTATTATCTACTACTTTATTATCTACTACCTTGCTATTTCTCCTGCTGCTCAGCTTATAATCGTCGTAGCGTGATGTTCTATAGTCTATAGTCGTTCTTCGGAAAATGGCTTATCAAACACAAAAATAATTGTTCGGAGCAGTATTTCATTAGATTACCGCGATCAAACAAACAAGCAAACAAATTCTTCGGCTTTGTAATATTAGTTATATCCGAGCCATGGCGACAAAGACGAAAAAGGAACACTTCATCAACATCCACGCATCACTTATAATTTTTTTTTTTGCTAAGATATTTAACTTCAAATATATGTATATGTGACCTTTTAGTTAATGAAAGAATGCCGTTGACATATCCCTTGTAGACTACATCCAGACCTTTTTTGTAGATGGTTCTTAAAGTAAACATTACTAATTAGTTTACCAATTTGTAGATAATTCTATTTTCAAAATACTATAGTTTATTGCAAGACCAGTTTTAGGATACTTTTGTATTAGTTTTATGTATAATAAAGGTTATTTGTAGATTTTTTAATCGTTTGACTTTTATGACAGCCTGGTACTTTTATGGGGTTGGTGAAACAGGTGTTGGGAATGAAGTCTAGTTCCGCGAATAATTTGTAGCTAAGTTATCTCTCAATCGGCCCTGATTATTATGGACTAGTAACTCAACTAGCAAAATCTGTTTATACTTTGCACAGTGTGCAGTAAATGTAGCGTGAAAAGTAACGATTGACGATTATAAACTGAAGAAATATTACTGCAAAAAATCTAACTTATATTGCACAAAGAAAGTGTTTTGTTGAGAGGAAACTTGATTATTATCTAGCATTTTTCCTCTAGTAACTCGGATTACCTATATTTGGGATATGACTGATTAGTTGAGTGTTACATACTGGAGCATTTTTCTTTTTCATTAATGTCGTGGTACATGTTGTTATGCTCGAAAACAATATCGACGATTCATGAATGTGAATATTTCCATCACTGCTTGATTCTTTCAAGGTTTAATTTGATACTTTCAGCCACTGATCGTACTAGTGCCAAGATCAACGCAGCATCATTCATTACCTCAACCTTATTCACTCCACTATTGAGATACTCTGACAGCGAGAGGGTCAAGATTAGTATTATGCTGACATTTAAATCTTCTCTTTGTGGTATCAAAAATCTTTACCTGAAACTTTTTATTCCAGACACGAAGTCAGATCATTGTATTATAGACATTGTTATCAAAAAAGTTTATTTGTCAATAATTATTAAATTTAAATATACTTTACATTAAACTACAAACTAAGCAAAGCAAAAAATTTGAAGATACAAATCTTCCCGTTTTAAATTAACGAATACTTAAATAAAAATTAAAGTTTTGTTTCAAAGATATAACGCTCAAATCAATACCAGTGACAACTATCTTGAGGCACAAATACTTTCGTACAAAGCTGCACTTAACCCCTAATTGTCCAAAACCTAAGTGCAAGCTTCGATAAAAAGTCTAGTCTAGTCTTGAGAATTTTTAAATGAAAATATAAAATAAAAGTTTATGGAATTTATAAACAAACAGTTTCTCCCATTACTGTAGCTCATGCAACCATGACGAACATTTTATTTTAATTTTACGTCTACAAATTCCCGAATTTAAATTCTGCCGATCTTTTAGGAATTAGGGTTTCGGAGATTTAAAGATTGGAGAGGTATAAGGGGAGGGGAAAAAATATTGGGCCTCCACTAACTTCGCTCACACGACAAAACACAATGCTATGAAGTATTGTCCAAAACTTTGTTAATATTTTGAGTAATTCATCTTAAGTAAAACTAAAATATTAACACTAAATAATATTCCAACGCCAAAAAACCTAGGTAACTTGATGACGCGAAACGCGAAAAGCAAGGGTGATTGTGTGTACTTACGTTTTAGTAAGTATAGATAAGTTTGGGAGAGCCGTGCTTCGGCACGCACGACTCGGATCGACCGGAGTGATACCACGGCCTGACAGAAAACAGACGTGAAGCAATACTTACGTTGTGTTTAGCTGTGTGAGTGAGGTCCCCGGAGCCTCAATTCTTCCCCCTTCCCCTATCCTCAATCCTCGAATCCAGTGTCCTTAAATCCCTAATTACTCGCAAGACGCGGGCAACGCACTTGTAGTACTACTTTGGTACTGCGAGTGTCCATGGGCGGCGCTGATTGCTTACCATCAGGTAATCCGTCTGCTCGGTTGCCGAACTATGTATATAAAAAAAGGATTCCTAATCTTTTCTAGTAATAAATTTACTTTTTGTTTCTGAAGATGAATGTTGCTTTCCATTATGAAAAATGTTTTGAAATTGGAACAGTTGTTTTTGAGTTTATTCATTACAAACATGGTCAAATAATAACATTTTCTTTTTAATATATTTGTGTAGATAATACATATATATGCTATTATGCATAATACATATGCTATTAAATCGTTACTGACAATACTCGGACTGATAAATAATGCTTGGAATCCAATCGCTTGAAATTAATCGACCATGTACTTTTCGTTGCTCTTTATTAAAGACAAATGAAAATCACGTCTTTTTAGCATTGTGCACAAATACATGATGCTTACCAATTGACGCTGTCCATGACACCGCACCAACGGAGACCTAATGGGCTACTGGCCTTTTAGTAATCTCAATTTTATTGTAATTATTTATATGTTTATGTTACTACCTTCTAACCGTCATTTGACTACCTATAGGTACGACCCTTTTTGTCACGGGAAAATCATCCACTGACTTCTCCCGCCCAGGGATAGGCGAGAGAGAGTGACAGACTCTTAATGATTAAAAATTCCCCCGTTCCTTTTCCTGCTCTGGGATGACGTCGCGGCGCCTCATTGCGCTTACCCCGCAACCCCGGCACCTATACTACCCTACCTAGTTACTTAGTTAAACTACCTACCCTATACTATGTACCCTACCTACCCTATCCTAAATATTGTACCCTATTGTATGTTCTTCTTCTAAACTACAACCCTACCACTACACACTACCTATATAGGTACTACTTTCTTTTATACATATAAATTACTAGCTACTCTCGCGCGATTTCACCCGCTGCTCAGCTCCATTTGATTGTAGCGTGATGTTTTATAGCCTATAAGCACTCAAGAACATTGCAGCTATCTATCAGTGAAAGAATTAGTATAAAAGTACAAATACAATAATAATTTTTAAGTATATCACAAGAAATGATTATTTTCAAAAATACTGTAAAGTTACATATACTTATACCTCTCTAATGTATAAGATGTTTTACGTTACGTAGTTATAGATTAGAAACATTTTTATTATTATTAATTTAATTTACCTAATTTCCTAATTTAAATTAAGTTCATAATTCTATTTTATTTCCTAATTTAATTAAATTTCAAAATATTTTTAAACTTTATAATTTCATAGTATAAGTTAAATTTTGTTATTTTGTCATATAAGTTGATTTTATTATTTTGTAATGTAAGTTAATTTTATTATTTCGTAATTTGCTGTGCCCGACAGGGTCCATAATGATCTTAATACTGATACACATATAATAACACCTTATGTAACATTATGGAATGCAATAAACATTTGAATTTGAATTTTGGCAATCCGACCAGTGGTTCCAAAGATTACCCACTACGTACAAACTTACAAACATACAAATTTTACCTCTTTATAATATTAGTATAGATTTGCAGGTTTTTCCAAATAGGTTGGTAGTGTACCTACCAAGGTACTTAAATAATTTCTTTTCGCGTTAATACTCGCGTAATTATATTTTGTAAACATGTAACGCGAAAGTTTAAAAGTTAGGTTGGTTTTTTTTGTGAGGGGAAAATCATCAAATGACTTCTCCCGCCCAGGGCCGGGCAGGAGGGAGTGTCAGACTCTTACTGACCAAAAACCCCCCTGTTCCTTCTCCTGCTCTGGGCCGAGGTCGCGGTGCCTCATTGCGCTTACCCCGCAACCCCGGCTGAATATCAGCCCTTTAGGGCCCCGTCTGTGGTGGTCTAATGGCTCTTTGAGGCGCGCGCGGAACGCTACGCGCCGTACGCTCGGGCCTGGTTCTGGTCGGGCGGCGAGCTGCCCTTACTCGCCGACCGCAGGCCCGTGCTTACGGTGGCCGGAGATCGTCCCTCGATCCCCGACGCCCGTAGCGTCGCCAGTTGCGGCTGCTGGGGCGTGAGGAGGAGGATTGCTCCCTCACGCGGGCCGCCAAAAGTTAGTTAGGTCAGTAATGTGGTACCTGTCGAAATAATGAACATTTATGTTATGTGCGCCTACGCAAGACAGTCACTTGAACACCGATGAATGGCCGAGAAACACCGTGCTTATTTGAGGTGATTGGTCATTTCTTACTTAGAATTAATTATTTCATCATCATCATCATCATCATTAGTCCATTAGTGGTAAAAAAATAAGTGCCAACTGCTGAGCAAAGGCCTCTTCTCACACGGAGAAGGCTTGAGCATTAATCACCACGCTTGCACAATGCGGGTTGGCGATTTCAAACTTATAATTAGAAATTATAAGTTCAGGTTTCCTCACGATGTTTACCTTCACCGTATGTTAGTGGTGTCTTAATAATCATACAAAGTACATATAACTCGGAAAAAGTCACATTGGTACTTGCCAGGTTTCGAACCTACACCCTGATGCATGAGCTCCTTAACTTCCGGGCTGCGACGACTAGAATTATTTACTTAGAAATAATTATTTACTTATGATTATTAACAATGTATAATATCTTTTTACCAAGTTTCGCCTGGAACACAGGTTGTCCTAGTTCAATCACCCAATGTTTTGAAATTGGTATAGCTTTAAGGAAAAGTGTGTATTCTAGCTTATGAGTTCTTCAATAAATTTTATTTTATTTATTTTTTATTAGATTATGGAATCATGATTCCAGTTTGTCCATGGTGTCTAAATATTTACAAAATGTATGTATGTAACTCAGAGAATGGTACATTAGTACTTGCCAGGTTTCGATTCATTATCTTCGTGAAGCTTCGCCTTAACATCTGGTCCAAGTCGACCTACCTATTTGAAAGAAATAATTGCGACAAATTTAAGGAACTGAAGTACTACTACTACTAAGTTTGAATACCAGGGTCATATTAACCTACTAAACGAAAAATTGTAAGCTCAAATGTATGCAGATGTGACAACATTTAGTGTTTCCAGACTTTCTCCACTTCAAATAAAGGCATGAATGAAAAACAACAATTACTTTGATTATTTTATTGCATCTATAACGGTATTGAATGAAAAGTTGTCTAAAATTATAACGAATACAATATTTGAATAACAATACACTAAGTCCATTAACGTGCAGGATGCAAGATCAGAACAAATTTGTATCTACTAATTTATTTTAAAATCGTTTATAATGTGTCAATAACCCCATCCGATCCGAGAGGCGTATTTTAGGTGATACACCATTACAAGTAAATAGTGGCGTACCTCCTGTCTTACCTTTACATGCATAGTTCCAGACTAGCAAACAATCAAAGTAATTTACATTATCAATTTATCAACACTTTCAGGGACCGGACGCGGTACCTATACTTTAGAGCAGTCACATTCAAATATCTTAAGAAACGTACGTGAGTAAATAAAAAACGAACAACTGCCTGACCATTATAAAAAAGAATGGTTCACAAGCAAACTGCTCGACCTTTATTCACATCCACTTCACACATGATCCGTAAAAATTTAAATAGTATTAGGTGCTGGTCACAATCTATTATAAACATTGAGAAATTGTGTATTAATAATATTCATAAACAGTCTGGTTAAATAGAGAAAAAACCACAAAAGACAGCTATATAGTTAGAGGCTATTTACATCAGTTATTTACATAAATACACCAACGAAATTATTACATTTTCATAGATCTCTTCGTACCTACACAGGTACCCAAGTCAGTACCTACAAATTAAACATATACAGAATACGTAACATTTGCATGACCAGTTATAAAATGCATAACATTCTACATATGACCTTGGACCTACATACGTTTTGATTAAAGTCTTATTTACCTTAGACTACAAGACACCATGCAACATAACATCTAAATTACAATTCACATGTTTTGATGACGAATCAGACACTTACCACAGAATTTGAGAGAAGATACCTAATAATATTAGATTAATGATACACAGGAGATCAACCAATTAAATTCTTAGAGTATTTTCTTTAGCTTAATCGATGGCTAGGCCAAGTTGTAAGTCGATACATGAATGAGAAAATGAAATAAATACGCTTACATACAAATAATTACAATTCTTGTTTTATGTGAATGCGACTCAAGCTGATTTCAATTATAAAATGCTTAGGGAATTTACATACTCAATAGTAATCAACATTCATTTAATAACTAAGGCCCTTTTTCTGAACTTACAATACTTTTTCTTTAAGCTGAAGGAAATTGTTTTATTAAGTAAACGCATCAAAGCGCTTCTAGGAAATGCAGAAAAAGAAATGCGTTGTTTCTCTACTAAATCTAGTAGAAAAAACATTTCTAAACATCAGGACTAAATTATAAACATTGTAAAGGCATTTTATAGTTTAATTAGTCAATAGAGTTGAATTTAGCATTATAAAGACGTAACAATATATAGTTCATGTGCACACGGGGTCGTTGCAACAATTGTATTTTTATTTATTTCGACAATAAAAGAAAAACATTGTTGCTTTATTGATTGATAAGTGCATAAAGAGCGAATCCGAAATTAAATTTGCGATAATACGCACAAAATTGAACTTTAATTGTAATTTACGTGAATTGCTGGACTTGCAAACAATACCAATTTTTTTTGTATGTGATTTTTAGTAATGTGACTACTGGTTTTGTATATGTCTTATCTTAACCAGATACAACGTTGGTGTCGCATACAAAATTAATAACAATTTTAAGAAAGTGTCTAAGAGTTTTACTTTTATATGCTACTATTTTGTGCGTTATTATTTTGTTTATGCTTTACAAAGAAACCGCAGTAAGACGCTAAAAAGAAAAAGAACGAATCGAAGTGGAGCAAAAAAGAATGAACCACGCTTCATTCCCTTTCCATTACCCCTTTGACCTACGCTTAATTGGAAAGTTACTAACTGGTAGTGTGCATTTGCAGAAAGTAATATTAATTTAATATTTCTATATTACCTTCAATATATCATACTCGAAAACCTAAAAGAAAAAAGTAGAAAAACTTTGGTAAAGGTCTTTCAAGACAGAGACAGCATTGATTTTAGTATAACAAACCCATACTAGATCTAATATAGAAGTTGATATAACAGTGTTGACTGCAAAGGATAAAGATACTCCATAGGAAAGTAAAGAGTCCACATTTATTGACTATACTAGAGCGATGGTCATAGAATTTGACGAAGTCTTTTCTGTGATTTCATTGTACAGCATAAAACATTCACATTTTAAATTTAGAATTCGTTCGCACCAGTAAGGGATTTGGTTACAATAAAAAGTTTAACATTTTTGTAAGGTTGGCTATTGGATGAGATTCAAAAATTTTGTCATTACGTATGCCTACATTAGAGCTTAACATATCCACGGTTTTGCGGAGGTGCACATCACACATGCACATCTGAGTCACCTACGCATCGTCATTTGTTTTATAAGTCCCATGAAATAGAAGGGCCTATGTTTATTTCGTCCTTGGCAATCGACCAGCGATCACTTAATTACGAAACATCTAAGCTTGTACTCCAACCAGCCTTGAGTACTGATTTGAATTGCAATTCCAGGTATGTAAGCTGATTATTCTTTGATCTGTAACAAAAATTGTAAGTTAGAAACAGTAACAATTAATTTGATACGTTATGATACTGATTTTAGACGTTTATTTTATTATAATGTAATCTTTGTAGAACAGTGTATGATAGTCTAAGAATAAAGCACTAGAGAACTACATTTTATAGTTGAGGTTCGGCCAATATTAATAGTTAAATATCTAGTTGCAAAAAAAACTGCAATATAAAAAGGAAAATTAAAACAACGTACCGTAGAAAGAATTACTCGTCATGATTGGTTTCCATCTAGAGTCCTGTTCACTGTAAATAAAAGTATTTTATAATTACCTAATTATCAGAATGATAGCACAGCAGAAAAATAAATACAAGACTTATTTAAATACAAGTTTTTGAAACTGAACCCAGTAAATTAACCAGACATTTTTTGTCATAATAAAGTTGTAAAAGCTGTATCACTATTCGCTTTGGTTCATCTCTGCATCACCCAAGGTTCGACTGGTATGAAATGCCTTATTAATTCCACCTGTGCACTGCGCACATTTAAATAAATAAATATCAGGCATAAATTTAACGTACTCTATAAAAGCATCGCAGAGCAATCAGTAAATATATTTTGTACATATATGAAGAGATTCATTCGCATTGATAATATGTATTTTTAAACAGATTGGTATGCCAGGTTGTGGTAACAAAGTCTTCGTAGTGTGACATACGAAGACTTGATAACACATGGCCGCAAAGCTTTCATTCTGAGATAATAGACCATTATAGAAATAATTCACCACAAGAGAAGAATATGTTATTGCAAGGAATACATAAAGTACCAATTTCAATATATCTATTATGGTGAACCATTTGCAAAGCCTAATGGTCTGAACAGTGACTTAATAACTTACAATTCTTCCTGTCAGAAATTCGGTTCCTTCTCCGCTCTCGTGCTACTGGTTTGCGTTTGGATGTTGCTGACCTCACAAGGCTTTCTAAGATTTCTTCGTCTGCTGATAAGTCTCCACTGGAAATGAGAATTGTTTAAAGATTATGTTAATAGTTTTTAACAGTATCATTTAATTGTTTTTCCAGGTTGAAGTAAGTTTAGACTCTCACAATAGCAAATGGTTTTAACAACATTACTGATTGTAAAAGGGTGTGCGAAGTCGACCAATTTATTTAACATACGAAATAATACTGACTTTACTAAGATTCGCCTGCTGTTGGGCTGACTCTTTCTTCTACCGTCTGTGAGGCTGTCAGTGTCCGGATCTGTCTTCAACAGTTCTTTTAAAGCACTATCTGCAGTGTGGTCCCCATTTTTGTGAGAATAGTTACCCACCTGGAAGATTAATGACACTTATTGTAAAAGACATTTCATATAAAAAACAAATGTTCAATAAAAGGCATTAACTAACGGACTAAAGGACTGTGCCGGTCCTTTATATTCCTTAAGAATATTTATTTACTTAAATGTTGTTGGGAAAGGAAATAAACAATAATTTTTAACTTTTACTAATATTTTGAGGTAACAACTGGTGACGGACTTACATCAATAATCATTTTTCCTCTAGTCTTGTTTCTCTCTCTATGATTAGCCTTTTTCTCTAGCTGCTGTAATACCCTCTCCCTAGTAGTTCTGTACTCCAGAGAAAATTCTGCAATGACCTTCAAGAATTCTGCCGGTTTGGTCTTGGGTATATCACATGGAGGGACTCCGAGGAAGAGTAAGAATTTGTTGAATCTGTAACAATTTCAAATCGTAGTCTAAGCACTTATTTGCTTCTTAGTACACCAAAAAGGCTGTATTGGATTCATTAATAAAGGTATTTGGCCTTTCTCAGGTTTAAAGACCCGATAAACATAAAATGGCCTTTGAGAATTTGCTTTTCTATCATTTTCTACGACATTCAATCGCCGTCACTATTTACTACTCTTTTTTTCAATAATAATCGTCACGTATTCGTTTGGAAAAGCTAGCACATTTCATGAAATAACCTACGTACTTAGGGCTATAGTAATAAACATCATAATCAATTCGCTTATGGCTAATTCGCATCGCATCAAACATAGTTTAAATCAATGCATAGGCATACTTAACTACTTAATTAACAAACAAATCAATTGTATCTGAGAATCTAATGTTCTATTATGTTTTAAATTATGGTGTGTAAGTAAGTTTATTTTGATAATAGTTTCTAAGACCAAACTGATTTGCTTCAATATTTAAGCATATTACCTGCTCATCACCCTCTTTTTGATAACTGACAAAAGGATGATTCTCTCCGCCGCATCTGTGAGGAATTCATTTATTTTTGTCTTGAAAATCTGAGATCCGTCGTGTTTTGCAACACGTTTCATGTGGTCCCACGATGCTTTGCAGTCTGATTCCAGTTTCTGGAGATTCGCTGAGAGTACATCGAAGTCTACTTTAGAGGCTCGAATGACAGGACCGACCTGAAAATTGTATTTAAATCTGTTTTGTTATTGGCATACAAGTGCTTCAAACATTGCAATATTTCTTTAAGAACTTTGAACATAATGCTGTCTCACAAAAATAAAATTTCATTAAACAATACTAACTTCACTGAAAAAGTCGGAGCTATCAGGGAATTTTTCAATGATCATTTCGCAGATGTGGTACAATAGGGGATGTTTGTGCACGGTGTCCTTAACTTCCACAACTTTAGATAAGTACTCCAAACGAAAACCTTTGGCATAGTTTCCATTTAGGTAGTTTCCGACGGTTCGCAACGTGGACAAGATTACTTTGAAAGTTCTGTTCACTTTCAACAATTCTATACCTTGCTTTAGGTCCATCAGTGGTTCGGCGATTTCTTTCTGCAAATTCAAAAGGATTGTCAAACTATATACAACCAAATACATAAGTATTATATGTATTGTTTTTCCTTAGTTGTTTATGATCTTGTTCACAAGTGAAGAAGAAACGTAAAACATACTCAGATTGATTTTAGTCTTAACTTGAGTATATTTATATGAATTACGATAACACGAACTTTACCTCTAAATTGTCAAAATCCAATTTGAACACCCAAAGTTTTAGTCGAGATGAGAGTTCGTTGATGGAAGCCAGGGTTAATAGGAATTGTTCAGCACTGCCTAGTGGTAAATCCGGATTGGCGTACTGAAAAATATAAATACAATAAATGACCACGAAATCGGTATGGGTACGGTACAAGGGACAGAAAAAGGATATGTCTTTCGAGTAGTAAGTACATTTTATGAAATTTCTGGTAAACAGTTTGTTTATTACCTGGGCCTCTTGTATTTTGATCTTTTCTTCCTCAGTAGGTAACATGGTCAATAGTTTTTCTATACCTTCTCTGCCAACGACGGTGGCATCCATTTTCATAATAGCTGCTTTGATCGTTTGTGGTTTTGGTAATTTCTTCATTGCGATATTGATAGCATTTGATCTTTTAGCGTCTAAAATAAGGTTTCTCTTTGGTTCCATTAATTTCTGTAAATAGAAACGTGTTAATTAATTAAATATTGTCATTGAAAGGGTAAACAATGATAATAAAGAATTAAATGTAAAAAATATATATTAATTTATACTTACTTCCTAGGAGAAGCCGAAGATTACATGAAAGAAAGAAGAAAATGGGATTAGTTTCACTTTAATACTTTTGTTTAAATCACATACATATGCATTTTATATCCTGTTTATAGTTTACTTACTTTGATAATCAAATCATTAGTTCTAGATTCGAACAGGTGCTCCAACATTGCAGTGTCAACACTGACCTCAGGAAGGTCATCCCAAATAAACCCTCCGACCTTCGGCCTTATCGCCACTGGCGTTGGATTCTCTTGTATTTCTCTCCAGAACAACTTCACAGTTTTCTTATTTTTCTTTATTGTGGAGCTGTCAGAGTCGTTTGACATTTCTGATGAGAGAGCTGGTTTTGGCGGAGCAGGAACATTATTTTTAGTAAGAGAAGGAAAACAACCTGGCAGAGGCGGAGGGACACCCATTGGTGGGAACATTGTGGGCGGTGGTGGTGGTGGACCACTAGCAGCGTTCACAGCAGGTGAAGACATCTCATCGTCGGAATCCTCGCGGAGATCAGAAAAATCTAAGTCGCATAAGTGGAATTCCCTATGTAAACAACCTTTTCTCAGTTCTTCCCAATGCAAATCATTTTCTGATACTTTGATTTCATGAACTTTAGGTGATTTTTCTATCGTAGGACTCTTTATAATTTCTGCAAGAAATATTTATACTTGTAATTTTTATTGAATTGTTACCACGAAGCAAATGGAACAACTCATTAAAAGGAAATAATTACCTTTTGATTGAGATTTAGCTAATTCTTCTTTGGCTTTCGATACAATTCCAGCCATATCAGAAACCCGTAATGGCTTTTCCTCGGTAGTTGGACTGACTGGGCTGGTCAACCTTTGTGCTAAATCTTTGATACTGTGTTCTCTATTCAGCAAGATTCCTCGGTCGTCCTTCACCTCTGGAGTCGCGTCTGTCTGCTTCTGCCGCATGACTGTTATAGCGTCAACAGCATTAACACTATGTCCTAAAGTCCCATTTTGGATTCTCTGTTTGAGACCTGATGTATATCTTTGGTTTCCTGATAAAAGTTAAAATCAAATTTAATATCACAAGGATCGAATAAAAATTAAATGAAAGTGCAAAATAAATTAATAGCGAAAAAGAAGCAGATCAAAGCGGGTGACAAAGGAATTAGTTGTGTGTTAGTTTAAGCACAAACCATTCTTTAAAACATCTGCTAGATTAAAATTCTTCGTTGTCCTATTCATGTATTTATCATCAGTCGTATCATCTTGATGTCCATTGACTCCATTCGATAGACTGGTACCATTCACGTTACTAGTAGTATTTGTGTAGTTCTTATTATTGGTGTAAGTTCCATTAGTGTAATTCCCATTTGAATTTGTATAGTTTCCATTGGTGCTGGTATAATTCCCGATAATGTTCGGGAAACTCACATTAGAACTTGAAAAACTTCCATTAGTGCTGGTGAAACTTCCATTGAGGCTTGAAAAACTGCCATTTGGACTTGTGAAGCTGCCATTAACACTGGTCATACTGCTGTTGGACGTGGAAAAGTTTCCATTTGAACTTATAAAACTTCCGTTCCCGCTCGTGAAACTCCCGTTGTTGTGGAACAAACCATTGTAGATATCACTGGAGTGATTCAACATTTCTTGTTGCTGAATTATATGATGCGCCTGCCTCGCGAATCGATCTCGTCGTCTTCTCAACGCTGAACTCAGTTCTTTGTTTTCTTTATTATTGTCAGTGAGCGACGGTAAGAATGAACGAATGTTATTCGTTATTTTGTTGTCTGGCTCAGTGTGAGTGATGACTGGTTTTGCTGTGGTTAGTGAAAAACAGCACAAATAAAGACACTTGGATTAAATGGATGTTGTTTAAAAAGCTCTGGTTAAGAAGATTGAAATACAACAAAACTTGCTTTGAATACTAATGGAATGAAGTTATGCGTTTTAAACAACATGTGATCATATTTGGTAAACAAGTACTTCAGGTCAATTGAAGATTTTAATTAATATTTTAACAGTTGCAATATGAAGAAAAATGTCTTAGTATATTTAAGGTATGAACTGACATACCATGCAGAAAACTATAAATAATTAAAATGAGTATAAACATTAAAGCACACCAAGGAAAAAAGAACTCTTCGATGTCACTGGGTTGACACTGACCTTTTTCTTTGCATTGTTGCTTTTTAGACTTTCTTCTCTCACTATTTAAGTTTATGCTTCTGCGACGTATTGAGTTGATTACCGAGTCGTCCAATTGTCTGAAAAGGAAACCAAGACTTGATTACTTTCGATGTGGGTACTGGTTTGGCAATTGGCGAATGAGGCATTTCTTCGGACATATATATAAAAATAGTAATTGAGTTTAGTAGAAAATGATGTGTTGATATCAACTTACTTTAGTGCTGTTCCCGTTTCATCACCATCCTCATATAGCAAAACAGCTTCGAAAATCTGCAACTGCCTCAAAAGATCTAAATCAGTTCCTTGCTTTGACATATACAGCTGTATAATATCATCAATGCCCTGATCCTGCAGAGCATCCACCTGGTCATAGTATGTGTCTCTATCGGGAACATTGTTCAGGCATCTATTGATCAGAGTAGTAGCGTAAATGAGAAGTTCCGTATCGGATGCATCAAAGTCCTGCAGAATCTTCATTATGTTGTACCATGGTTGTCGAGCATTAGAGCTATCCACGACCACAATTGCTTCTATGAGGAGCATACAGTTTTGTTCGGTGTATTCGACAAAGACTAGAAGTAGTTTGAGTGCTGTTTTGACTACATGACGGAATTTGCTAGAAATGAGAGCGTAAAGCCACTGCACACAGCGCTGGTGGCCCATAACCCCATGCATGCCGTCGACATAGAGCAAGATCTGAAACATAGTGTAAGTAAAATGTTATAGAAAAGCATAGAGAGAAATATTGTTTTTGTTTACATAATTATAAACTTTAAGCAAAGACAAACTAGAGGCTTCGCTTAAGATTCTGTAGCATTTTAGCTCATCAGCTATTAATTGTTATTTGTTTACGTAACTTTATTCTTGTTATTTCTATTAAAAGACTAAAGAAAACATGACCTAAATATTTGTAGCATTATAATACTAGGGTAACGCGAAAGTATTTTTGGATGTTTGTTATTTAATCGCCTAAACGTGTATTTGGCATACATAGAAGTTCATGGATGACCAATCTTTGAATTTAGGACGTAATCTACTTCAGATTTAACGGACTGTAGTTACAAGAAATCTGAAATATGCGATAACATTCAAAATTACACAGAATATTTGAAGGCCACATCGAATACATGTGCACTACGACTCCAATCATTGTCTTTTATCATTCTATCAAGGGGACTCGCGTACATACTTCCGTTAAATGCCCCCTACTCCTGAATAGGGACTGTCTGTTCAGACAAAAAATGAATCCTGGCTTCGGCCCCACTAACTTATTACTAGCAACTCACTACATAGTGCAAATAAAAGTTTGTAATTAAAACTTTCTGTATCGGAGCCGGTAACGCTGACTTCAAACAAAAAATACACTTCGTTTATTTCAGAGTTCCGTTTCGTCCTATATATGAAAGTTATAATTTTCAACGTTAATACTTTTTGTATTTCGTTTTTGTGTGTTTTGACAACGAACTTTACAAACAAAATCAAAAACTGAATATTTTGATGAACTGTTTACCTGTCCAAGTGCTCGAAGGATGTAATCCAGATAATTGTGGTCAGCCATGTTGCCGACTTGCATGAGGCAGTCCAGGCCCTTGTTCGCGACGAATTCGTGCACAAGGTCCTTGTCGGACTGAAGGATTTGCTTGAGAGTGAACAGGGCTCTGCGAAGCTCTCGTCCCTGAGAGTGGAGCAACCTCTCTGCGAAGTACAACAGGTAAAACTAAGTCTAAGATCACTTTGGTATCTTCATATAATACTGTATAATGTTGGAAAGAAAGCTGACATTCTCTAAGACACAAAAACACGAGGGTTCCGGTATAATGCTAAGTGTCAAGCTGTAACCATAGTTACTCCCTTGCATTGAGTATTACTCGAGGGCGACCATGTGGTTTTGAAATTCTGCCAATTGCATAAATTCATATATATGTATATTAAATATAAATTATCGAAGTTTAGTTTACATATACTCAAATATTAATGGGATCAGGTAAATACTGTCAAAAGTAGCGCGAAAATCTAAAAATTAAGAGAAAACTTAAAACTTTGAATATAATCAAAGTAAGTATACAAATTTTTGTCGTATGCAAAATTGTATCTCTCTATTATAACTTTTTCTAAAATATTACAAATTGATAATATTTATATTATAACTTTAGAACCTAGCTGCCCATCTACTCTAGTACCTATAGTTTCTACACTAGCCTTCAGGGAAATATACTTGATGCAGTGCTAAGTTTTAATAACAATAAAATTGATCGATATCCAACTTAGATGTTTGTTTTATGGGCAACGATTTAAAGTTTTTCCAAGTTGTAGCCCTTGAGTATCTGGTGATTGAGATAGCTTGGAACTTGTAAGACATGATTTATCAGATTTTGAGTATTCGCTGATCGGAATGGCTCTAAAGTTAGAGAAGAATCAAAATTCTCAGGTCAGGAAAAGTATAATTAAGATCGAAGAGTAATCACAACATAAGTTTCGAATTAGGCTTATTTTCTGCTAAATAGTTATAGTAACTATCTGGAGAATAAGCATTGAACTTGAACTGGCACCTATTGCCTTCCATTCTATGTATGTTAGAGCCAAGCTTTGGCACGAATGAGTCGGCTGGACCAAAGTGCTTACAGAAAACTGACATGAAGCAATTACAGGATTGTGATTCGCCGTGTGAGTAAGGTCTGCCTAATCTTTCCGGACACACCATGTGACACACCCGGCCCTCTCCAATCGCTAAATGTCCGAAACTCTAATCCCCAAAAGTCGGGGAACTTGTTTGGTGTGGTGGATGTCTATGGGCGGCACCGACTGCTTACCATCAAGTAGTCAAGTCGTTTGCCGACCATAAATGCATCACATCCAAAAATCCTTCTTGTCGTTAACATTATTAAGTAGTTGGGAAAACTTACCAATGATTGCGTGGACGCGAACAGACAGTTGAGTGCGAAGGACCAAGGCATTTTTTCGACTGAAAATAATAAAATGAGAAATGTTAATATGTATTCTGTTTGTATTGTACTGATTGAAAGGTTTCGACGTACATCATTATTATTATTACCTATTTATACAAGAATCAATACGCCAAACTTCTAAGTGCCACGACTGCATGATGTTTTTTTTTTGATGAAGTAAAATTTTCTAATGATTTCACTAGCCCTAGGCACCGTGAGAGGGATTTTCAGACTCCTACTGACTAAAAACAACCCCGTTCTGTCTCTTGCTCCAGGTAGAGGTCGCGGTGCATTATTCGCTAGATCCGTGTGAGCGTGAGGATGCAGAAATCAAACTAATCCGGTTTTCGCCCTTCAAAAAAACCCGCACGTGGTGTCTTGAAACGTTTAAAATGTTCAATAAATGCTCTAATAAAAATTATAAAGAGTACTTTAACATATTATTTTTCACAACTACCTGCGTTACATAGGTATTACGTACTTAAGTTTCATAACGAAATACAGGCAGAATTTACTTCCAATGCATATAAGTAATACTTTTTGTCGAATTTCACGTTACAATTATTTCGTTTTCAATGACGGTCAAAATACTTAGGTAGTTGAATAGTTAAAATGTAAACTTCTACAAATACACAAGGCTTTCTCCAGACACTAAAACACGGTTATTATCGACATTCCTTTTACGAATAATTGAATTAAAAATGAAACGCAATCAATTATCATCAAAATTCTTAGAATTTTCTATAGATTTTTGAGTATAAAATTATTTTTGACTGAGTAAGTTCTATCCACGACAACTTATTAAACTCACATATCTTCGTCGAAGAAGTCATCGTCTTCGTCCTCCGACATATCATAATCCAGGTCCAGGTTGAAATTCACTTTAACAGGCACTTCTTCATCAGCGATGCCGGAGTCTAATGATATTTGTCTGAATTTACGATTCGGTGCAATTTCGAGATGTGCATTTCCCTCGACCAAGTCGGATCGTGTGAAGTTTCGCAAGTTATCTTCCATTTTTCTCCCATCAATTCTATACAGCCTGCTCTTTAATGTCGCTTGTTAACTTTTCCAACACCGTCACTCTTTACTGCCACGTTCAATATTCCCACTTTTTCATCCACCATGCACTTTTGTAATGTAGAAAAAAATAACGCACATTGCGGGTACTTTTTAAAAACAATTCGAGTAATGATATATTTATTTATTTATGTTTCAATTAAAATAATGTTCGTTAAATCAGTTTTGAATTTCGATCGCGTCGGTTTTATTTTTAATCACTGTTTCTAGTTTTTATAGGTCAGCTTTGTGGTGCTTGCGTCTCTCGTCGCTCCCCGACGCGAACTGAGGGTATCGCGTTGATAATATAATTTTCCGGACACGTTGTACCTTGGTACATGAAATCTCGGAACACACGGATGAACTGTGGATGAATTCACAATAATTTTGCTTCAAAATACGATTCCAACTTGTATAACTTAAGTTGCCCAAAATCGCATAGACTATGCTGTTTATTATATATTTTATGAGAAAAATCAAATCTTCAATATTTGATGTTGGAAGTTTTGGTTAAATAGGTAATTGCGTATGTCACGCAAGTAACTTCTTAACACCAGGCAAAAATAATATTTTGCATATATTAGGATGGTATATCTGTGTTTTGACACAATCACACCCTGTGCATGAGTTTTCGCAGTGTAAGTTCATTGTTTAAACGAAAAGCTAGTTTTTGTAGACGTTCGACTTCATCGCGATTGAACAGAATCGAAAAAAACAGTAGCTAAACAAAACACGGGCGGTTTCGCTCACTGCTAATACCCATACTTTCTATAGTGACGGTATATGACATGACACGATGACGAGAAACTAATAAATTCTTGTTGAACATTATTCATTAAGCGACAAAACAGATTTGCTTTAACAATATCACCCTTTTACATAATCTTTATGGATTTATGGAACAAAAAGTCTGAATTGAATGTGCTAAGGGGAAATGGGTGGTTTTACTCAGTATGAGTCTTAACAGGGCTTTACGTGTGCAAATTCTAACTGTATCACCATCACCCTTGACAGACTTGAGTGATATTCAGCCTACGAGATATTTTCAGTACTTGAGTATTGACTAGACAAAAAAAAATAACCATCAGTCTCACACATGTGATGCGCGAAAAGTGACCAAATACAAAGTTAATTTCGTTGGTAAAGTTTTTAGTCCAACCAGGAAATATTTGTGTTATAAGTATCAACATCTATCACAACCTATGCACAGATAATAAGATACATTGTTCAATCTCAGTATAAAAAACGTCTTTTTATCTTACCACAACTACTGCCCCGTGAAAAAGAAAAACAAAGTTCAATTAAATCCTCATTACAAAAAAAAAGATCAAATTCACGTTTTCGTACATATAAAACCGCGAATCAAGTCGTTTACCCGGTTACAAGTGTAACAGTAACCCAAATAAATGTACATGTGTCGAATCCGGTGCTGATCTATTTCTGATCCCATGGAAAACGGTGCGACGACCTTTGGTACATAGAGAAAAAGTCTTAATTAACTAATAAACTAGTACTATTTAAACTAACCTACACTTTACTAGTATTAAAAGTTCTTTCTCCTGACCTTTGCATGGGAAGTGGGCTGCGGTCAGTATAATAAAATTACCTTAAACACCAGATTCTAATGTGGTTTTATATTAACAATAAGTTGTCGTTTAATTAGCTGTCTTCTCTTCCATTATTTGAATCTTATTCCATAGAAACAAGACGTATTTTTTTGTACGGTGGCTTTTATGATATCTTTATTTCGTATTTATAATTTAACTAACACTAGTATTATCTCCTGTGTCGTGGGTGCGGTTAAAAACATAAACATAACACCCAAACCCGGAGCAACCATTTGTGAATGACACAGAATTTTTCTGTGCGGGAATCGTACCCGCTACACGTTGGGTGACGGCCAGTTGTCCAGGCACCGCACTAACCGTGCATTCGATTAGACTCATCATCATCATACTCATAATCATACCATGAAGTACCTCTCAGTAGTGACAATTCGAGACACAATGGAAGAATAATAGGTGCACGAACGCCGGCGTTCGCTTCGGGTTTGATGAATTAAACAAAATAGCAAAATGCGACCAAAACACAGTACATGCCACGTGACGTGTCACAACAGTATTTATTTAGTGTATCAGTTGCCTGAATTAGTCTTCAAAAGTAAGTTTTACTTATGTGTTGAAAAGTAATTATAGGGGATTATTAGAAACGTGAACTCGTTATTAGCCACGTTTCCCTGTGTGCCCACATGTAGACTTATTACATTTTAGTCCAGCCCCTTGCCATGTCCAGTATCGATAATTGTTATCGCTTTAGAAACTAAACTAATGTATGGCGATTTCTGAAGGTCATCGATAAGTCACGTGGTCATCAAATTATTTCCCGTACATTTGTTTCGTTTTTAAGCCATAATGATTATCGATATTAAACTTGGCTGTCCCATCTGCTAGGTCTACTAAACAAATGTTTTTTTTTATGTAATAGGTCGCCAAACGAGCAGATGGATTACCTGATAGTAAGCGATTAGCGCCGCCCATGGCAGCGGAGGAGTTACAAGTGCGTTGCCGACCTTTTAGGGATTTGGAGATTTAGGGATTGGGGAAGGGTAAGGATTGGGCCTCCGGTAACCTCACCGGTGGCCACCGTAAGCCCGGGTCTCAAAGAGCCAATAGACCACCACAGACGGGGCCCTATACGGCGGATGTTAACTGGGGTTGCGGGTTAAGCGCAACGCGTCACCGCGGCCTCGGCCCAGAGCAGGAGAAGGAACGGGGTGTTTATAGTCAGTAAGAGTGTGACACTCGCTCTCGCTTTGCCCTGCGCGGGAGAAGTCATTTGATGATTTTCCCCTGACAAAAAGAAGGGTCGTGAGGTAACGGTAGTATTACCGTAATAAGTTTGTTAATTTCTTGTAACCTTATCCTTTATGGCGCAAAAATATCGTATCCTTTATAAGGTAATTTTTTAAATATATTTTTGTGCAATGGTTCCCTTAAGTACTTCATTGATTTTATTTGAGTTGCCCCGAGTGATGCTTGTCTGCTACACGATAAAATTCGATTAAAAGGTTGTCCTTTATGAGATGGTTTTTAATTTGTATGTAATCAGTGTAAAATTATCGGAAACATGGTTGTCAATTTAATTAGCACATAAATGTTTGTGTCATGAGATTGCCTCCTTAAAATTGTCAAGTTTTCCTATTCGATAATTTTTGGCACATATTTAGGTCCAGGTCTATGTAAAACAAAACGGGTATGTAGGCATACACTGTTCATGATTCTAGATAAGGTAATGTTTAAAAATATGTATGTTTTGGGCCAAAGAATTCATCAACATCTCTGAGACCTAATGGTCAATAGTTAACGAGCCAAACAAGGGAGTTGTCAAAATAAAGGCAAGTTTTATTATTCATCATCATCAGCCTATAAGTGTCCACTGCTGAGCAAAGGCCTCTGCTCACACGGAGAAGGTTTGAGCATTGATCACCACGCTTGCTCACTGCGGGTTGGCGATTTCAAACTTATAATCAGAAATTATAAGGCCGGGTTTCCTCACGATGTTTACCTTCACCGTATGTCAGTCTAAATCATAGGAAGTACATATAACTCGGAAAAAGTCACATTGGTACTTGCCAGGTTTCGAACACCCTCATGCATGAGAAGCCTTAACCTCGGGGCCACCACGACTTTTATTATTGTCATTCATAAACTCTCAAATTACTGACCCCTGCATTTGCAGTTCCTTGTCAATCGTTACGCAGAATATAGCACCCAATCGCCTCAGACAAAATAATCGTTTAAAACCTTTTGTAATTTTACTCCCGTTCAACTTTCAATTTGAGTGTCATTATTATATGATGATGATAAAAGTTTATTATTATTTGTCAGAGTCAGAGTTTAGGAATGCCTCAGCGCTGACGTCATCTTTGCAAAAAGGTGTTAAGAATTTAAATATGCATGTATTTTGTAGTGCTTGTCCATTTCGTTTAAGAAAGTATATTCAATATATTTATCTGTTATATGATACCTGCATAGCCTTAACGGTTAGGATTCGATATGAAAATAGTCAGGAATGTAGTTCATAACAGCTCTACTCCGTTTTTAAATAAAGAATTAAAAAATGATTGAACCGAATAATTTTTACCGGCATTTCTTTTCAGTGTAGTCAGATGGGAAATGGCTTCATCTAGTTTTTTTTTACATATAATTTTGACGTGCAAAAGTGCTATTTTATGGCCTATTTACAAAAACTTATTCATTGTTTCATTAAAGTGTACTTGGCGAGTAAAAAAATAAATTCTAAGCACCGAAACCTAACTTTTTTTTATCGAATGACTGGTACATCTCAATGTATGGTAGATGTACTTGATTTTAACTCATATGGGAACTGAAGGGGAATTCTGCCGGAAGAAAGCAATTTTGACTGGCAGCGAGGGACAAACGACGCATCTCGTTTATACCATAAAGTATATAAGTATTTAATCATTTGTATAAATCAGACTGCGTCGGTTATCGAATGATTGTAAGATTTACTGTTAAATGTGTGGGTTTGCGGTAGGGGAAGTTAAGTTTTTAAAACTAAGTATCAGTAAGTGGTAAAGGCATTTGCCAAGACATTCGCGTTTTAGGTTATAGGTATAATAAGTTTGTCTTTTGAAAGTGTCAGCAGATATATAGGCTTTTGCCAATACGTAGAAATCATTTTAAAATGTTGGATTTTTTTATACCTGTGTACCTATATTTTTTGATATTGTTCAATATCGTAAGTTGTACTAACACTATGGTGTGACACTTTTCTCAAGATATTTCATTCACAAACTCGAGATTGTATTATATTATCTTCCTTATATTTATGTTGAAGTAAAGCCTTTGTGTGGTGTTACGTAATCTACGTCATCATCACTTAAGTTGAAAACGATTAATATATTACTTTCATAAGTTTATTTCCTCTAATTTGAAAATTATAAGTAATCCCAATGCCTGACCATACTCCTAAAAAGAGTCGATACGAAATCGAACTACGTGGTCCAATTTGTATGGCGCGACAGCTACGAACGATAGCGATGCATGGAATTATCGCCCTAAAGTTCCTTCTATTAGAAATGGTTCTTGAACGCAGACTTGAATGGATAAATCTGAATTTTTCTCACCTATCTTGTAGACCTTCCAGTTCTTCCTCTTGCTCGCCCAGCGTTGAGTCCAGGTCCAAATAAGGCCCATAGTCACCGTCTTTGAACACTTGCAGCGTTGCATCATCCAACTGCAACAAAAAAGGAAAGATTTAGGTAATGTTCGCTCATTAATTAATCTGTTTGGTGCCTTTAAAATATAAAATATGAACCATCGAAATTGAAAATCTTTTTATATATTTTAATATCTTAAATTGGAAAAGACCCCTTCAATTGATAATAAATTCCCATCAAAAGTACACAACAGACGTGTATGTACAAACTGTAAAATCCATTATGTATTCTAGCTTACTAATCGATTTAATTTTTTTAATAGATTTTCAATTTTATGGTCTTGCAATAAAGTCGATAACTTATTGAAGACATCAGCGGATAATGTTTCTGGTTGTACTAGAGTCCGAACCTATGCCCGTAGAGATATTAAATAAAACATATAAGTATAGGAAATAATACTTTTGGTTACGAATAGGAAATTGGTGACTAAAAACAAGTTAAAATACGAATAGTCTATGCTAGCTCCATCTATATTTTACTGTGCGAACTACCACACCATAGCGTCTTTTATGTTTTTAAAGTTTCATAGCATTTGAAAACCATTCATTGCCATCTTGCCACAGAACAGAAAATTAAGTAGGTAGGTGTTTTCTATTCCGTGTTCGTTGCTTATAGAACCACCATCTATGAGAAACAATGGCAATCATTATATATTGTAGTGCCATCTATTTTCAATTCTATGAAACCTTTAGAAAAGCACCATCTATGTTACATTTTAATAATCATTACATAATGTGGCGTCATCTATATTACGCGGTATTAACTAAATTAGTTTCATTTAATGTGAATAGATGTTGCACCAATGCAGTTTTTTGATAATATAGTATTTTATTATCTCCGTAAATAGTAGTTATAACATCAAAAATCGATGTTAAACGATGTAATATACGCTTATTAAAAACGAAGAAGGTCTTATTTTAATATTTATTTTATTTTTAAATAAGCCAAATTTTGTTGATTTTATAAGTTTTTATGAATGGTATTCGATACAGGAATTCGGAAAAATATCAATTTCACCGAAAAATTTGTTATATCACCCGTTTTTTACAAAAAAACCCTTGCTGGCGTTTCGCTCTCTCTGCTCCGTTCCTGAGTACAGTAGCGTGAAGTTTAGGACTTAATCACTTTCCTTAAAAATGTGTCTATTGTATAAAAAAAGATTTTTCCAAATCTGATCAGTAGTTTCTGAGTTAAAAGCATTCAAAAATTAATCATCAAAATAACTCGTAACATCACGCTTTTTATTTCGAAAACGGGTCAGCAGGGGATGCGTGACCCTATTTCCGTGTCCTACGCAAAAAATTAGAAATCAATCTAACATTTTGTTTTTTAACCCTAAAAAACTCGTGTGTATAAACCTTTGATTCCTTTCGATGGTTTGGAACTAATTATTTTTAATTTAAATGATTTCTATATTTTCATGTCAAATAGTACCCAAATATTTCATTTTTATAAAAAAAAATACCCCTGGCTATATTAACATCGAAAATATTCAAAAAAACGTTGGCGCGTTTGTTCACTGTCGGAAGTAATGGTAACATCACGCTATTTATACAAAAAAGGTAGGCAGGTGTAGCACGAGCATACGACCTTACACTGAGCATAGTTTTGTAATTAACACATTTTTATTTCTTAAAAAATCCGCCGAATAAAGTCATGAATCGTAGCTCCCTGTTGCGTTACTGTTTTATTGTGTTATTTTAACTAATATTGATTGTTTTTTTCCGTTGCAATTAAATATAGCTTATTATTTAATTTAAGACAATATTTTAAATTTAGAGTTAAAGAGTTTATGTTCATGTGCGTCAAATGTGTTAAGTAATGCTGTCTTACTCGTATATAGTTATGTCGGTTGGGATTTACAGAAAACATCCAAAAAATATATTAATTCATTATCATCATCATTAACAGCGTATAACACTGCTGAGTAAAGGCCTCTTCTCACACGGAGAAGGTTTGAGCATTAATCACCACGCTTGTTCAATGCGGGTGTGCGATTTCATACTTAAATTTAAAGTGTTTGAGAGCCATGCTTCAGCACGAATGGGTCGGCTCGACCGGAGTGATACCACGGCGTCACAGAAAGCGTTAAGTTTAAACAACCACAGCGTTATGTTTCGCCTTATGTGCCTCCCCAATCCCCGAATTTTTAAATCCCAAATCCCTAAAAGGTCGGTAACGCACTCGTAGTTCTTCTGTTGCGGGTATCCATATATGGGCGGCGCTTATTGCTTACCATCAGAAAGTCTATCGTTGGCTCGATTGCCGTTCTATTAGAAAAAAAAAATCAATGCATCTTTGCCGCCCTATCCCACAACAAAGTAATCGTGATCCCATTACGTGAACAATATTTGCGTAATTATTAAATGCACCATAGCTGCATTCGTCTATCGTGTTAGCGTTCATAATTTCCTTTTCAACAACTTTATGACGTTAAAACATTTAATGGTTGCGTTACGCGCATTAAAATTTGATTCGCTCGCCACGCGTGACATCACAAAAAACATGTACCTACCTACCTAGGTAGGTAATTCTTTGAAACTGTGTCTAAATAGGTTTCGTTCTAATTTTGAAGCAAAATCCGAGTAAGAACTGATTTTCTGACCGTGATATGGCGTCTATTGGAAGGCAATTATGCTAATAATAGATCGTTGGTACGTATTGTTTCAAATATAGCTGCACTCGCATTATTGTGTCAAAGATATTGTTTTAAAGATCTTAAGCCCTGCCTTCATAGCATATGTGCCTTTCTTCAAAGTAAGTAGCTGCAACAATTCCTTTAACTTGTATACATTACACACATTACAACAGGCTACAGAATCGCAATAATTTCTGAACTTAAAAATGAAGGCATCAAATATAATTTAAGTCAAAGTTGGAGAAGATTCAAGTCTGAGACACAAGCACTGCATTCATAATATACCTATGTATGTATCGTAATAAAACTTGTAAGATATCAATGAATCAATCAATGGGAACCATGAACTCTACGTATAGTTAATTATTCCACGATGGAAATTAACATAATCTCCATTAACTCGAGTATTCATAATTAATTAACATTGTGCATACACATTAGATAATAAGCCTCTGTAGGTACTTAAATGCTTATATACATTTTATTAATTTAAAATAGATAAAATATGTTTTGTGACGTATATGTTGAGAACATACATATAGATGCTGGATTGATGAGTAAAAATATTTTTAATAAATAAGTTATATTTTATTTTATGCTATATTTGTATTAGGTATCTTACTGACAGACAAAGTAGATTTTATAAGAATTTTAGGATGTTACCTACTATAAAAAAAAGCGAACCAAACTAAATACATTTTCGCGAGATTTTTTAGGGAATATCCGGAAGTTACTAAATTTAAGTGTCGGTCCAGAGCAGGAGAAAGAACGAAGGGGTCATTTGATGATTTTCCCCTGACAAAAGGTACCTTCTATCGATAAAAGTATATCTACAAAGAAGCTCAATGTCGAATACTCGTATTATTCTACAAAATTAGGAAGTTTGCGTTAACGTAAACAAAAATGACAAATTAATATCGATTCCTAAACAAATATAGATATTTACATTTTCATGCCGTGTTCTTTGGCGAGTTTCCAAACTATAACTCTTTATACGTTTCAGTGGATGTTGGAGCTGGGTACACGTTGAAAAACTGTTTATCGCCTCAAAAATGTTCCTAACATTGTTTTCTATCAATCAGTTGCTAGTTATCTAAACAGCTTTAACAGGCCTTATGACAAGGTTTCTAAAGTGCTTTTTCACGTGGGAATAAACATGCTAGCCCAGATTGGTTGGATATCAGGGATTTTTCTGTTGAACAATGGTCAAGGTCCTGACTAGGGTGAAGTAAGCTACCTAACTATAATTATGGATAAAATTGTGTCACAAAGCACAAACCTCGAGAACAGCTGAACCAATTTCGTAATTATTTTTTTATAGAAAAGCAAACTATTAATGTTTTGGCGAAAACCTGAAAAAAAAAATACGATCCTATCCATGTCGTGTTATTTGGCTAATATAACAAATGACTGACAACTAGGCAGTAGTAGCTTCTATAGCAGGGCTGCACGAATTTAAATTAGATCATTAATTTATTTGATAATTTATGCACGAAGGGTACATAGGCTGACTTAATGCGTTCGGCATTTTTCACCAGTTGAACCTTGGGTGATGCAGAAATGAGCCAATGGTCGGTGTATGAAGCAAGCAGACTTAATTTTAAGTCTGCTTGCTGTCTGTAGTAAGTTGTATTAACTTACGAGATTGTAACGTATTTAATATACATATTGATATTATTTTAAGGTACTTATATATTTTTATTTTTTAACAGCACGGTCTATTTTGAAGCGTTCTTTTATTTATAATAGCTACCGAATTTTATTCTAGAACAAAATATTAATACGTGATATTAAAATATTATTGTCGATGAAAGAAATTGCAAAATATCCTCATAAACGACAATGATTACCCAAATCATACTGGTTCTGACGTCAATGATTTAATGCAAGTGTTAATATTGATAACGTCTATAGTGTATCTCTAAAGGATAGCTATTGGCGACAAAATGTGTGGGAGAGTCATTCTTCGCCACGAATGATCTAGTTCGACCGAAGTGATACCCCATCCTCACAGAAGAATGGCGTGAAATCACCATAGCGTTGTATTTCGCCACGTCTCGGTCCCATGCTTCCCCTCCTCCAATCCATAAAATTCCAAAACCCTCATCCCCAAAACGTCGATAACGCAATCATAACACCTCCGTTATTGCGGCTGTCAATGGCCAGTGCTGATTGCTTACCATCAGGTAATCCGTCGATTCGTTTGCCGTCTTATCTCATAAAAAATGTTCGATAATCCTTGACACACTAAAATGTCCTTTAAAAGTACAGACAAAGTCACACCTTTAGTTCACTCGCAAACTGGCAAATAGAATAATGTCCTCAATGTAGAAATTATTAAATACAGCGGACTATATTTCTGCTCATATCACATTCAAA